AATAGACTTCCTGGTCAGAGCAGGTGTCAAGATGTAAACCGAGAAGTTTGAGCAAACAAGGTGGAGGCTTACAACGGCTCCTGTTCGCTGCACAAAGACACAATTGGCCTAAGGGGAGTCGGTCTCCTAGCAACCGGTCTCAATCCACACCCCTCCCTGTCCCGTACGCAGAGCAGGTGAACTCCTCCCGTCTCCACCGGGATTGCGGCCACATCCCCGGAGGGACGAGCTCCGTTCCTGTCGCAGTCGCTGCCGCAGCCGCGTGGCGAGCAGGACAAGATGGCCAACTCGGCTCTGGAGATGCTGGGCCTCATTCTGACGCTCATCGGGCTGATCGGGGTGGCGGCCAGCACCGGCATGCCCATGTGGAGAGTCACGGCCTTCATCGGCGAGAACATCATCGTGTTCGAGACTCGCTACGAAGGCCTGTGGATGAACTGCTTCAAGCAGGCCGACATCAGGATGCAGTGCAAGGTGTACGACTCCCTCCTGGCCCTGCCCCCGGACCTCCAGGCGGCTCGGGGTCTCATGTGCTGCTCCCTGGCCCTGGCCGGCCTGGCGCTTCTCATCAGCCTGGCGGGGCTGCAGTGCACGGCGTGCATCCGCAACAACGACCGAGCCAAGCGACTGGTGCTCATCGTCGCCGGGGCCATGATCTTCATGGCGTGCATCTGCGTGCTGATCCCCGTGTCCTGGACGGGTCACGTCATCATCCGCGACTTCTACAACCCTTTGCTGATCGACGCCCAGCGGAGGGAGCTGGGGGAGGCCCTCTACATCGGCTGGGTGGCCGGCGCCTTCCTATTCGCCGGAGGATGCGTGTTCACCTGCTGCAACGTGCGGTCGGAAGGCAAAAGCGCGAGGGGCTACGTCTACTCCGGGAACTCGGACTACATGGCGTACCCTCCGCAGCCCGTCCGGCCTCTGCAGCCTCAGCAACTGGTGCTGCTCCCTCAGGCCCAGGCTCAGCCCGTCCTGTCCAGACACCCCTCCGCCCAGGCCCAACCCGTCCTGTCCAGACACCCCTCCGCCCGGGCCCAGCCCGTCCCGTCTAGACACCCCTCCACCATCTACAGCTAC